CATGAACGCTTCAAATTTGAGTCCTGTTTTCGAAAAAAACTGCCAGATGTCTACCCACTCGAATGCACCGGAAGTGGGCCAAGATCAGTGCACACCCAGGGGAAAAGGATTTGCGGCCTTAATTTGACGATATCATGACTTGTGGAAGCCAAACCTTCCGCGAACTCGCTGGCGCCTCGTACCTCAGTCTTGAAGCCAACAGATTTGTGAGCAAGAGTAAATCATTTGTGACGAAAGGTTTGCATAGCGCTGTGAAATTGGAATGGTGCATCACTTATGGTTGTTCACATGCTTTTCATGGGTGTGCTGATTTTCTTAAAATACCTCATTTGCAGAGAGCTGTATATGTGAAACAGAAACAATTAAGTTTTACTTACCCGAAGGTAGGGCTTATGAAGTAGGATCCTAAAGCAGAGAATATGTATGGCGCTATCAATTCAGTAGGATTGCACCCACTCCTGTCTTAGTTAATACTGACAGAACTTTTGGGGGATGAAATGTATATAAAGTATGTTAAGGTGTGATACCCGAGTGTGAGAACTGAAATCGTCTATCGACGTTTACGCAAAGCAAGATAATGGATCTGTCGTCATGCTGACTGATGCGCAACTGGTCAACAATTTCAGTATCAAGTAACTCGAAGAATCATTAGTACTGAATATGATGTGATATTTTAACATTTTTCCTGAGAATGAGCATAATTTCGCTTAGAATAACTAAAAACTCGGACGAAAATGTAGGTAAATAATGCATTTACAACAATCCATATGAACCTCAATGAAGTCTTGCAGCCTGGTCGAGGGTTTCCTCGTCGAAATACCACAAATGAATGATATGAAATTACCCTAAACTCACAACAATAAATTGGCACTACTTGCTGAATGCAGAACGCTGGTTGTCAAAGCGAAATGTGGAGTCTAAAATGACCCGTATGTGTTGGAGACGCTTCCTGGCTGGACAGTGAGAGGTCCCATACTAAACAATCAGGCACCAAGTTTTGTTAAAAGCGATGATACAGACGTAGAGACTACGATTAGTAATATGTTGGGGAAAGTTTCATGATGGCGATTGCTGAAACACTTAACGTCCTCTTTTAGGCAAGAAAGCAGTTGAATTAACCAAATGCCAATGCACGTATGAGAATGGATATTTCGCTTCAGGCGCGGAAACTCAAAAATGGTCACTTGACCCACAACTGCCATGCTGCACTTAACTTACTAATCAGTAGCAGCAGGAAGTTTGCCCCAGATCTAGACCTGTTGATTAAGTATCGGGATGCTATCGATAAATATAGAATGACAGATTATAAAGAAAGTGTGAAAAGTCAAGACGAACGAGAAAGGTAGTGTAGGACTTCGGGAAAACAGAATGCTCGAGCTACTTGGATGTAGTAAGTGACTGAAGAATTCAGAAGGATGGTGACAGTAACCAAGTGGGGGCGATGTCTTCCTTATGATTTGAGAGACTTCCTTACTTATTGAATGATGAATGCACTTCCATGTGTTTGACCAGGTTTCCCGCTTCGCCTGCCCTCTGTCATGCTTCGATAATAAGGGTCCAAAACATTATTAGTTTTCTACAATGTTGTAATGTCGGTTAGTAATTTGAATAATTATTTCGATAGAAAAGCCGGCTTATGATATAGTGAACCGGATGTGATTTATGCTAACTTAGCCCTTCTCTTGCTTTACAACCTCACCCAATTCTTGGCATGTGACACTGTCGTGTTTCTCACCCTCAGCTGCATCACCGCAGGGATTTTGGCAAGTCAAATACAAGAGTAATCTGTGGTGCCACCTATTATTCAAAGGTTACGCCTTCTGGAAGATATTTCAAATAGACTATGTAAAAGCATACAAACTGATAGTATCACAATGCTGACGGACTCATTGATGCACTCACAAAACATGAAGTAACATGGACTAGTGTCGATCCATTTTGATTTTTTTTATCAGTATTTATTATGTGACTATCGTAGGCTTTATCATAGCATTCATTTTCAAATAGGATCCTTTTCGTATAATTGTGGTAAATTTCATGTTGGTGTCACTCTTGTCACCTTATTTTTGCTAAATGTGAACTAGTTTCCTCGGTCATAGCAAATAGTATTCATATACGTGCATAAGTCATCTCAGCGTTCTAAAACAGGGAAGTATGTTGCATTCATGTAACCATGGTCGATTGGAGCGCCGAATTTACATCATCAAGGGAGATCACAACAATGAAATATGCTTCACTAGCTCTGCACCAAAAGGCTAGTTGGCGTTTTAAAATATAAGGAATGCTACCCATGCTTTTAACCAGCTTTCATCACTCAGTTAGCTGCGGTCCAGGAAACTTATCAGTTAGGCTGTCTGCACAGATTTGAGACAGCTTTCAGTTGGTTGCGGCTAGAAGTAACGCTTGCGATTGGTGTGTGGCTATCCGTCCTGCTTGGCCTCAGCTGTGGCCACACTACCTGCTGACTCTTTAGCCTGGTCCACCTAACCTGGTGGCGAGGCTGTCCTTAACACTAACCAACTAGTAAAGCGGGGACAAAACACCTATGGCTGTTCAAAGATGTATTCATCAATGATTATATGAAGATATTACAGAGATAAACAATCACCACAATACAGCCGATGAACTCTTGCTCCTTGAAAACCAAAATCTGATACAGTTAGCAGCGATAAACAAGTTGACCATCGAAAGTAAAGTGGCCGAGATCCAGCTGAGTCAACGAACTTCTTCAATCCGCTACAGGCCACCACTGAGAAACATAGAGGAAAATCACCAGGGGGGATAACCCCCGTATGGGATGGAAAAATTCGCCAATTCGGTTAAGCCTCGGTTGTTTTCCTTCAACGACCAATTCTTCTATCTAAGCCGACTGGGTAACATTTTATGAGAATGAAATTTTCAAGATACAATAGTGTGGTTTCTGCGTAGTGATGTGACTACATATTTCTATATTCTGTTTACAAAATCGTTGATTACATTCTTGAACAGCCGCAAGTATTGTACTCAGTTAGAGTAAAACAAATTCACTTACAAAAGTTAACTAAATTCCTCGTAATATTTTCCAGGTCAATAACTAAATGTAACTTTGCAAATAGTTACAACCTCAGATGATGGAATTATCACAGTCGCCTCCATGATAATGAGAGGGAGATTCAACTCAAAAGGAAGGTAGGTTAAAATAATCCAATTCTCGGTATCTACAAACAACGCAGACCGAGAAGAAGAAGGAAAATTTCCACAGACAACTGTGCAGCGGTAAATAATTCCCCGGAATTACTAGCCACAGCATTCACCACTGAACGCTGTGTGTTGACCTTCACTGTTTAAGTCAACTTGTTAAGCTGAAAGCTCGCGATCAAGTATCCAAACCATTTGGCACGCCGTCGTGTTGTGTTCGTTTCTTCGCGCACGATTCCTAGCTAGTTAAGCAGTCATCCTCGGACTACGATTTGGTCCTGAAATATACTTTGTAATTGGAGAAGCTGAGTTCATTGTACATCGAACTGAACAAAGAAGTTAAGAAGAGTGCAAGAGAAAACAAAATACAATTCTACGACACCCAGGTGTGGGTCACAGGCAGAAGAGACATCAGAACATTATATCAGATAATCAGGTTTCTATCCAAGAAGAGATCATCACAGGCGAAGAGAGCCAGTTTACCGAAGAGGAGAAACAAGGAAAACAGGGTGCGGAGCACGTCAACCAACTCTCGGATCAGCCATTACCTGAAATTCCTCCTTAGTTGCCAAAAAACTGTCACAGGACTGTTACTGACACCAATTCTCCGAAAAACAGGAATCTTGAATGTAATCAGGCAAGTGAAACGGGCGTTTGATAATCATCTTGGCTTGCATTGGGTCATGTAAATAGAGCTCAGAATGAGAGGAAATTTTCGACGAACAGTAATTCATTTAACTACCTCATGTAGTCATTCTCAAGTAAAGAATGGCTATCCACCAAGCCTTACAGATAAACACATAAAGCTGAAAATCAACAAAGAACAACTCATCTCTGTGCTGAAGAAGATGCTATACATGAATGTGGCGTTCAAAGGCGACCTTCTGGTCGACATCCTAAACAGAAGAATATTTAACGCCCTGAAAAGAACATTTTCTGCTGCGACATTACAATTGGTATTCTCAAGCCGCCTATTATTCTTCAACAACTCCAAAAACAAACTATTGCATTTGACCACTTCTATGTATATCTACCAACTTACTTGCTCATGTGAAGAGAAATATATAGGTCATTTGATGTGTGGTTTATCTATTAGTACCAAAGTACATTAACCCGCTTGGCTACGAAAAGGTAACAGTGGATCAATAAGGAGTGCTGTAGTTGAACATACATTCAATACTGGTCACTCGATATACGAGGAGAATCCATTCAAAGTCAAAAGAAGCCTCCCGAAAACGGTAGGTAAGCTTCCGCATTGCCGAGGCCTTAGCTATCCGGATAGAATACCCTGATTTATGCACACAGAAGAAACTTCTCCAAACCCTCCTTCTACCTTGGGTATAATTCTAAGTACTATTTTAATACTATTTTGAATTTTCGTATGACATCTTCTTAACTAACCCTTTATTTATTCTTTCTACCTATTACATAATTCATTTTCGAACACGTGTCTCCATTAACTTCCCGATTTCATAATACGCGACCCTTGTCAATACTTACCAATCTTCACCCCCCCCCTCCTGATTACAATTTTGATTATTTATCACATTTTAGAAACATTTTGATGACGTAAGCAATAAGCCTAACTAATTTTTTTGTTTGACAATCGTAATGTACGCACACACACACAAAATAATTATATATAAGTGCGATTGTACAGCTAAGTGAATGAATTTGCCGAAAACAGACTCTTCGCTGAAATTTATTGTTCTTATATTCATGTCTGGATGGGTGTTTTCCGTAAACAGTTATTCATTTAACTACCACCTCATATGGACTTTAAAAAAAACAAATAATAACTTTTTCGTATGATTATTAAAAACTCTCTCCACCAAAAATTACATCTCTTCATCAAATGAACTATCATCTTCGTCAAGATCAATTTCTTCATTTCCTATTCCTAAAAATCGAATGTCAATTCTTTCTAGAACTTGTCTCAGAGTAGCATAGACACTTTCTGATGCATTACGCATAACACCGTTCACAATACCAAGAGTGTTGTTTTCACTGTCTGCAGCGCCTGCATCAGAAGAACTGTCAGCAGACGGTTCTGCAACTGGATACTGAAAAGAACTTGACGGTAACAGTGATGTTAAGAGTCCAGTGAAGAAGCCATCACTAGACGAACTTGCATAAATATGTCTGAAAAAGAAAGTTTTAAAACAAATACAGTTTTTGTAAAAAAGAAAAAAAAGAAACAATTAGCAAGTTTTTCATTCAATTTCTATATCAATAAATTTAAGCCTCTTGCTAAAAGTAATTACCAATAATTGAAGCTTGCAAGTAGATTTCATATAGTATAATAATTTAGAAGTGAAACAGCTGTTATTGCTATTTTGTTTCTCTGGAGTACTAGCAGTTACATGTAGAGAGGTCAATGTACAATTACAAATTAATTTTTCAATAAATAATCCCAAAACACCTAAATTATCATACTCAATAAAAAAAATCTAGTGTGATTTGACACATACATCAAGAGAGGCTGAGCAAAAGGGTGAATTTACTTCAAGCGAATAGTAATTTTATTCTCCATCTCTGATGGAAACATACATACCTTTGAAAAAAGATTCACTTCGAAGACAGTTACTTTTACATGGCACCAGTCAATGAAATCTACAACAGTTAGTCTAAGCCACATAGGAAGGTGTAGACTTCCTGGTTGGAGTCCTCGGGACGGTAAAAACCAATGATTGGAAACAATCGGTGACATGGCTCAAAATCGTTCTCAGTGGCGCAGATGCATCCACTCCTTGTGACTTATGATTTCCAATTAAACTGTTTTGTTCTTCGTTATTACTATACCTTTGTCTCACACCTCTATTTACTGTCTATATTATGCATTTCTCCTACTTTCTTCTCTTGCCTTGTGTGCTACATGGAGTGTGGCGACTTGAAGTGCCGCACATATGTGCAAAGTTCTATGTCGAAAACAGACAGACAGACAGTCACTTTCACGTAATAATGAATTCCAACCCACTACTTCTTAACCAAGAGGTTTTGGTGAAAGGTAGTTTATTAACCTTACTTTTTCTATAGCAGTGACGCTACGTTTGATTGATTCAGACACTTTCATTTTTTTAAGTTGCAGCTGTGAACGCTTCCTTATCAATCCAGATTGGATTACTAGTCCTCATAAAATAAATGCAGCTCATTGGTCAAGTGGTGGTTTTGGAGTAACACTTTATTTCACTACTTGTAAAGTAGAAGTCCCCCTTCTACAGACGACGACGACATATTCGTTCTAATATTTGACCACCTATATGACAACTTTTTGTATACCTTGATGAACGCGACTGAGTACTTAAATAGCGGCATATCAATACAATAGGGTATGCGAAAGCACGACTGACTCTCTGAGGCTACCAATCAGAAATTCCAGTGGTTTTTACACACACAATAATGACGTTTATTTGCAAGAGAAATACAGAGAATAATGATAAAACACATCAAAAAAGGAAATTTTTTCTCTGATGTCACTTAAAGATATCTCCCAATTATAAAGAGGAGTATCAGTTTTCAAGTTAGACCAGTTTCCATACATCTACATTCATCGAGGTGACTGAAGATGAGTTTATACGAGTTTAACCACGGATGGATGGATAACAGAGTTAGAGAAGCATTGAAAACCAGGGAGTACTGGACAGAGCTGTTTCAACCTAGTCTTGGGAATTATCGGCAGCTGTCCAGTACTCCCTGGTTTCCAATGCTTCTCTAACTGACATCAATCCATCCGTGGTAACTCGTATAAACAAATGTAATCCTTACAAACCAAACTCTTGAAGATAAGTTCTTTTTGTGACCCATCTATCGCTCTTATCCTGTTTCTCAGTCTTCCCCAAAAGCCTTCAACTGAATTAGTATGGGTTCCAGTAAGAGAATCGACATCTATTTACTCGAAGAATGCGGATAATAAAAATAAGAACACCCTATCCCAACCCCCTAATCCTAACCCCAAACTTCAACATAAAGAGCTGTCAACATATTGTCCAAACAGTACTTACAAGTGACATAGAGATGAAATTTGCACCTCGCCTCATGAACACTGCTCACAGTGGCGTTATAAAAATGGTAGCTCTCGTAGTATGCGTTCAAGGTAATTGATGCATTTGCACTCCTAGATCACTAAAAATTTAACTTGGCCTAAAATAGTCTGCATGATTTAAAATACCACTTGTTTTCAAGGAAGCTGATGTTTAGTAGAGTTTACACTGAGTTGCTATCTGAAATCTCTGCATATTTATAAAAATATGGAGCAAGAAAATAATTATGGTCTAAAAATCATTGCAGTAAGTACTCACACTCCAGGTGTTGATATGGCTGGGACTGTGGCGCACAAACTCTTGTGTACATATTATAATAAATGCTTCTCAGTGACCCTTTCATTCCAAACTAGTTAGTTCTTTTGGAGCGCTCTGTTAAGTGAAAATTATTACATCGTATAGTATGATGTATTTTAAATATATGTTCAATTACAGTTTTTTCATTTATACATTCTACCTACCATAGACCATCGTCGGTTATACACGATCTTTTTTCCAGATATAATGGAAAAGATTTTTAGCTCAGATGGATGATTTTGGCGTAGTTGTGTTCTCTGAGCTGGATGGTTTAGTTGCGAGGTTTTCATTATCTTACAAGACAACATCCTCATCAGCACATACTTCAATTTGAAGTGAGCTTTTAGATTTCTCCACGAGTTTATAAATCATCTCTCCTATTGACCTTGAAGGTGATTATTTGTTTTTGTGTGTTTTATCGCCCTCTAGTCCACTAGTATTGGCAGTGATTGTTTCCTTGACCTGAAAGCTAACTTTTTGTCCATGTCAATGTATCTGTTGACTGCCGATTCACTTGAATACTAGGCTTCTAAAAATTCTCTGGCATTTTTGGTGTTTTCTCTGTCTAAGATTTGAACATTATCCCAGTTGAATTGGTGTCCGTGATTGTCTGTATGCAGTGATATGAGGGAGTGGTTACCGCATCTTTTGATGGCCAGTTTTTATTCATGGATGCGAAGACGAAGAGGGCGTCCACTTTGACCAGTAAAATGTTTTTCACAGTCGTTGCAATTTATCTTTTAGATGATGTTGACTTTGACGACTTTCGCTGTTGACTCTTTTGGTTGACATAGAGTAGAGTGAAGTGGTTTGTTGGCAACATCAATTCCAAAAAGTTAAAATAATCTTGCAGTGATTTTGGAGATGTTCTCTATATATGATAGGACAATTTTCTTTGTTTTTTGATTGGGAACTTTTAATTTGGTTCATTGGGTTGAAGGTAGATGTCTTTTGATGAAGTTTCATGGATATCCATTCTTTTGGAAGATGTCCATAAGACATTTTTCTTCAATTTTCCTCGAGGTAGGAGTGCTGTAATAAGTTCTGTCACTCCTGAATAATGTTTGTATGCAACTCTTTTTGTGTGCTATTGGATTATTGCTATTGAGTAATTGAGTATTTAATCAATGTGAACAAAAAGCCAACACCTTTCAGGTCAAGGAAACAATAATCAATATCAATACTAGTGGAATACAGGGTGATAAAATACACAAAAAACAACCGATCACTTCTGAGGTTACCAGGAGAGATTGTAACGACAGAAGACAAGGGCCAGGCAACAGATCGTTTATTGAGAAAATCAACAGATATTTATGGATTTTTATGTACATCATTATTCGTCATTGTTAGCAGAGAGGTAACGTCTTCTGATTGGTTGTTTTCCTGCTGAAGGTTATTCTGTCATCTCTTGATGCTGTTTCTTAGACAATCCGTATCCGCCCACGCTAAGTCTGCTGTGATTGGTTGTTGAATTAGTCTTAGGTTCTTGTTTTTTCCTCAAGACCAAGATTTGGGACATAAACATTGACGTAAATTGCTGTCTACCAATTTTGGCTAGCAGACAGCTCTCACCACAAGATGACTAATAAACTCGTGGCGAATCTTAAGAGCTCACTCAGATTGAAGTGTGCGCTGAGAATATTGTCTAGTAAGACGATGAAAGCTTCGCAACTAAACTACCCAGCTCAGAGAATACAACTACACCGAAATTCTTTGTTCCAATTAACTTGCAGAGTAAACCAAGTACTAATCGAAACAAATAATACACACAATTCAACATAAAACAATCTTTAATACAAAATATATGTAAACACAATATAATATAAAGTAATACGAGACTGTACGTTTATAATCCACTAACTTTTTGGCTTCTTTCTTGCAAATATCAATAGAATTTTTAGGTGGAAAAGGATCGAATGCATAAATGGGAGTATTCACCAAATTCTTAATGAAAAGAAGAAGAATAAAAAGGAATTAATGCACAAATGGAATGATAAAACAAAAGCTGTCAAAATCAGTTTTACAAACCGCAAGACAATATCTATCATGTCTCGGTGGAAAAGTAAGCTGAATGGTGATGGTGACTGTAATAGTTTATCTTAATAAACAGGACTTAATAGTGAATAAGTTTAAGAGACACAGGTTTACATGTAAATAAAACATTAGTTGAAGGCCACACTGATATGTGCCGACGATTTATCTTATTAGTCTGTTAGTCAGATAGAAACAAATTATATGTTGTCACACGATGGACGTCAATCAATCAAAATCCAGTATGTTGTTAACATATCATTAGGTCTTGAGAATGGATCAATTATTATTATTCCTTTGGGTTCTGAGTGGAACACTGGGCTCCAAAAGCTCACTTCCATTTCACCAAATTATTTGCGGTCCTCTTTAGCTGGCGCCACGATTGCCCATAAGCCATCATCTCCTCCTAACACGATTTCCCGTATGTCCCCCTGACACATACGCCCAACTCGTCGTTTCCAATTCGGGTTCCATTCGACGTACTGCCTGGCGCGCGATGTCATCCAAAGGTCTCCTCAGCGTGTGTCCGATCCATCTCCACTTAATTCGGAACTAATTGTTAAGCAATACGTTCTCCATTGGTTCGTTCCCAGAGTTCCTTGTTGCCAATATGGAGCTAGCAAAAAGTTGTTCAGATAAAATTTCGAAGTCACCTGTTGGAAATGCTTTTCGTGATGCGCGCGCCAAGTTTTTGACCCATAGAGAAGAGCTGACTTAACTTGGTGTTCAAAATCCGAATATTGCACTTTATGCTGCGGAATATAGGAGATTTCCAAACCGATTTCAGAATGATGAAGAAGGTCCTGATTCTGGCTTTGACATCTTCATCCGTTCCACCTGTGGTTGTGAAACGATGCTGCATAGTGAATGAGGTAACCTCTTTCAAATTTCTTCCATTGATAGTGATCGTTGTTTATTATTATTGATTGGATATCTACATCATCTCCTTTTTCTTTAATGTTCACTTGAAGTCGTGGACTGGATCAATATATGTCATATGTTTTTGTACTCTTTGTCACTTTCTGGCTTTGCTTTGTATATACACTTTTCTATTGCTACCGTGTAAGTCTTGTGGAATTTACTAGTTTCAGGTCAGGGAATAATCAGGCGGGAAATTATCTAACCTTCATTATCGTCGTCAGTTAGCATTCATCATTCCTATTCGCCGAAACCACAAAAAATACAAACAAAATTTATCACAGTTTCTAAGGCATTAACAACAACGACGACGAGATTGTTTACTGCTGCTTCGGCGAATCACAGACATACACACAAATGTGTTGTGTATTTTGCACACAATATTGGTGAACGTAGCAAACAGTTTTGTAGTGAGTGCTGTTAGCGTTTAGAAACCTGGTCGCAAAATTTCCCTGCACCCATTGATATTTATCTACTGTCATTATGGAGACTCAATTTCCGACACAATGGATTATTTTATGGGGTAGGTACAAACAGGAAACAGTAAAAACTGAATACACACACAAATAAATAACTCCATATCAATATTGAAGTGTAAAAGAAATCTAAGGCTTGAAATAATAGAGAAGATTTGTAGCAATTAATAGTGTTTTCTGAGCTGGTTGGTTTAGTTGCGAAGCTCAAGCAAAAATGCAATTAACAAACACGTTAATATAGTCGAAATATACCAACTAATAAAAAGTAAATCAGGTGACCGGAAAGTTTAAAATCCAAGTCAATAGAAAATGGTCAATACATATGTAAAGATAGTTACCAGGAGACACAATTATATCACTCATGAAGAAATTTAAATCATTTCACTTTATGCTAAATATTGCGCTGAAGATGTTGTCCAGAAGGATGACGAAAGCTTCGCAACTAAACCAACCAGCTCAGAGAACACTATTAATTGCAACTTTAAAGCTTATTTAATAACTTTGATGGCTGTGGCTATAAATCAATTTCCGGTTTGTTACTTCGATCGTGGAGGTAAACTGGAATTTTATTTCAGTTATGCTAATTTTTCACCATTTGCAATAAAGGCTGTAATCAGTGTAATACTTAGAGGTTTACAGTGACGAATGTGTTTTATTCTTATAATATTTTAAACGTTCAGTACGGTATCATTAACTCTATGTCTTCATTTCATAAATTGCTATTCTCTGAATTGTGATAACTTAAACTAATCTCCCTATACGCACAACGTACAAACATTAAATCGTCAATAAGTTATTTCAGATCGTGGAAAATACCCATTAGGACATTTAGAAAGAAGAGAACACGAAGTTCAGCAAAGATATCTTTTCGGCGATTTCGAAATATATAACAGTCATAGTATGACGTAACTTTTAAAAAATTTTTTGTATTCCTTTACGTTCCCAGTGGAATATAGGACTTCAAGCTTTAGTTCTGAAGTTTCTGTAGCAGCGATGTTTTTTTCTACAGGGTGAGGTTGTTAGCCTCACTCTCAACCTCCCCTCTTTGTCGGGATTATAACCGGCTAAGGGAGGTAAAGGTGTACGCCGGCTGGGACTCGAACCCCGGACCGCGTGCATGGTCAGCCAGCATTCTACCACTGAACCAACGACGCACATAATATGACGTAACTAATACCCAAAATGTCAGCATCCAGTGGAAGTGACTACTATAATAAAAAGATTGATTATACTACTATTTTGGCTGTAATCATTCATCTCATGCAAATATGCGCTATTCGGAATCAACACGTATCAAGAAACAACAATAACACCAATAATAACGTTACATTCAGGGTGCTTATTACATCATTCTAGGTCTCAGCATCTAAAGTGGTATAAACGTAAACTGTGAAGTAATTATTTAAAATCCCTACGCCTAATGATTCAGTTATTGTTTGAAATATGAAGTAATTATAATTAAAAAACTATAATGCACACAAACAGTATCTTTGAAAATATTTTACGCACAAGATTTTGTCACTTACTCTGGGCAACACAGGTGGTGCTTCAGGAACTCCAGATAGAAACAAATGTCTTAAAATCTTTGGTGGGAAGGCAGGATAGAGAGCTTTACGTCTAATAAGGAGATAAAAAGTCAAACAATCCCCAAAATGTATAAACGCGGATATATATATATATATATATATATATATAAGGAGAAAAGATGAATAGAACAGTTTATTAGAAGAAACAAATATATCTACCAAAAATTCATTAAAAACAAATAAGAAGCTCACATTGTTGACTGTTGACTCGTCAACAAACTGAGGTAATATGAGTCCATATTATTATTATTGTTTCCTTTAGTTCCTAGAGGAACATAGGGCTTCAGTCGCACGTCTCCATTGCCTTCGGTTCTCCGCCAACGTTTTCACCTCCCTCCACGTCTGCCCATATGATTTCATCTCCTCTTCACATGACCTCCTCCATGTCACCCTCGCACTGACGACCAACTCGCCGCTTCCTAATCGAATTCCATTCGAGCGATGGCCTGACGTGTGATGTCACTCACTTGATGGTTTGTTTTCTCAGAGTATGGCCAATCCACCTCAATTTCTTCCTGCATATTTGTTGCACAATTCGTTCCTCCTGGGTTGGTTCGCTCATTGCCAGAGATCCCTGTTGCTGATCTTTTCTGTCCGGCCATCTGATCTTGAGTGGTATTGAGCGAAGACAGCTATTGATGAAGGTCTGTAGTTTGTTCGAAGTGCCCTTCGTGATGCGGTGCCAAGTCTCTGATCCGTATAGTAGCACTGACTTCACATTGCAGTTGAAAATCCGGATCTTATTTTCATTTTCATGCTGAGTGCTGTTGATCTTCACACAGACTTGAGAGTAATGAAAGCTTGCCTCGCTTTGATATCCTCATCAGTTCCGTCCGCCTGTAGTTGAAACGATGCTTCCCAGGTAGGTGAAGCAGGTTGCTTCTCTCAGACTCCTCCCATTTATGCTGATTGTGTTGTTGCTGTTGGTGTTGGCCAGGAATCTTCATCACCTCTGTTTTCTCTATGTTCACCTGAAGTCCTATCTTTGATGCTTCTTCTGCCAACTTGTTGCTTTTCAGTTCCATATCTTCCAGTTTGTGGGAAATCAGATATATATCATCGGTGAAATCCAGATCCTCTAAGTTTTTTGTATGGGTCCATATAGATGAACTTATTTTACAGTCATTTCATGTGCTAAACCTTTTTTTAAGTTTATCATATCAGTGATGCTATTACTTATATGTCTCTAGTATATAATCACATGTTTCAAAACTTTCGCCAGATATTTCAAGCAGCTTATAAGCAAACAAAGTACGACTCTCTCTGCTGCTACTATACATTATTCATTTACTTAAAATCAAGCATGGGTGCACAAAGAGGTGTTCCCTTCAAAATAATTGAATACCAACATAAAGAAAAGAGAAACTAAACATCACTTATCATGGGGACTGAGCACTGATCCCAGCTTCTTGCAAGAGAAAAGCGGAATAGTTGTATAAAGTGGCTTAACCTAACTTCTGTTCTCTATTCCCAGTGAATTAATAGGGTCGACCAAGTCTAGTGTGATGACAAGTACTAACCAATGACATCAGACCATTGGATTCCATCCCAGAGTCACGACGTTGTAACAGACATTAATTCAAGACAACTATTTTTGTCCCACGATATCGCATCAAGGAGTGACCACCTCTCCGTCTTTTCCTAGTGGTCCCAGGATGTGGGGGGGAGGGAACGGGGTAACATTTGTCACATATGGGAAGGCCACTGAACTACATGTCCCAAGATCACATCACTTATTGAAGTACGGCTTATACTATGTTGAAACACTATGCTCCATCGCATCGGAGCATGATTACTTGCCACTGGATTATGGTAATTCAGAATCAATGATTGAAAACACAGATACCTTGTATATCTCCAGCTCAGATAAGCCAGGTTTCACAAGTGTAAAATAAGGCTACACACACAGAAAAGGTTGTAAACTCGATCTTTGAAGACAGCACAATCCAAATGAGTGTATGTCACTGGATTTTGTTTCACGACCAAACATTTTGTCACACAGACCCTTTGATTTGAAGTCTGGTCTACAACACAGCAAAGTAACATCAACCGCTGTCGATAGCCTGTGATTAAAGCAGGTTCAGGTGCATTTTTCTTTTGCAACTTGGACGGCATACTTATCATTAAGGCTAAAGTCATGGTTTCCAAAATTCCACCCTTTTCCATATCCATCAGATCAGTTATGAGAGACAAAAGTTGACATTTGTAAGAATACACCCAACAACATGAAGGCGGTGAACAGGACTGACTTGGCAGAGGTTATGCGCCCGTCGCTACAACACAGTATTGTGAGGCGAAGACCGGAAGCCATTCACTCTTTGTCGTACCACTCCATTTGTGAAAATCATAGTAAATGTAGCTGTTTCGATTTTCCCTCTTCATTTACATAATTTTATCAAATTATTGAGTAAAAGATAAAAAAGTCAAGATATGTTTCCATTACCACGGGTGTTTGAAGTACTGAATCGTTGCTGCAGCTACAAGTGCCTCAATGCATACTATAACAGGAAAGGTACTCAAGATATTGGCTAACAGTTCTAAGACTTCCAGCCACAACACTTAATGCTCCAATACCTAAGATGAGCTGTTATTTTTCTCAAAACACTTAATATCCCTGATTGGAATTAAAACATCGTAAGACTGAAATTAATGCGTCGTCATGAAAACTTTACACTTACTATAGTGATATATATATATATATATATATATAACTATTTCGTAATCAACCACCAAATATAGTTTTGCAACAGACATACTAAAGTATAAGCACTTACAATATTCGTATAAAAGAAAATTACCACAATAAATATATTATGAAGATAACAGACAGCTAATTCACCTTTTAGAATATTCGGCAAGACGTGGGTCAATAGTTTTGTTCTTGGAAGGATGAATCTGTTTTGGTTCAACCATGGCTAAAACAGACTCAATATTCTTTTCCAACCATGGCAGAATATTCGGTGACGACCAAAGAGAGTGCATGCGTGCAACATATAGACTTATTAAATGTCCCAGACTTTCAGATTCACTTGTTAAAAATGCAGAAAACAAAAACAAATCAAAAGCGAAATTAATATAAACCACTGACTGATTGACTTTCAAAAAAACCTTAACACCAATTTACAGCAGTTCAATTTGCTACACTTTATTTATAAGCACACAAGTGTAAAGGAAGGAAACGCAAAGGAACTAGAACAAACGGAGATATGATGCAGAGAGAAAAAGTAGATAGGGGTGGTGAAGATGTGATGCGTTTGGAAGTCGATAAAGACCAGTTCTGTAGCGTCCTTTTGCACTGGACAGGGGTGAATCTCATCCAAACAGTCCTCAAATTTATGCTCAATGTATTCCCATATGACTGCAGTTTGCCAGAGAGACAAAACCGAAACATCACTTAAACCTGAAACATGGCTAGCAGAATAGTAAGCAATAATCACGATAATGAAAGGATTTATTTCGATAAAGAAAGAAAGACCAGATTTGCAGTATAAAATGATACCATTCTATTTTACAGGTTCTCATCAGCTGCAAACTACCTGAAATTACAATGGTTATAATTAATAACATTTCACACTTCATTGTTTGAAAGGTAATACAGAAAGCATTATAAGATGAACGCATCCGGAATATAAGTATTACAATTTATAGTTTAAGTCACCATCAATTTATATACTATCAAACTATGAAAAATAGGAAGGGGGTGAGAGAAAACAGAAAAATCTAATAAACAGTGATGGAAACAATAGACATCATTTGTAAACAAACAGATCTACTACCATTACCGGAGACAGAGATGAGGTGCCTACTAATTCTTTGCACAAAAGACATCCAATTTAGATTCAATAACCAATTCTACCGACGAATTGACGGGGTCACCATGGGTTCACCTCTAGGACCTATTCTAGCCGACATCTTCATGGGCTATCTCGAACAGACGCTACTGAGTGACGCTATCAATGAAACATACTATCGTCGATGATACGTTTGTTGTTTGTAACGACATGAGTCAGGCATCCGTATTATTTGACCGCCTTAATGAGACCCACCTAAACATTAAATTCACCATGGAATACGAACACAACGACGAGTTCAGTTTCCTGGACCTAAATGTAAAAAGAAGAAACGATGGAACGGTTGAAAAGTCCATCTACAGAAAAGAAACCTGGACGGGACAATATCTTCACTACAACAGCTTCTACCCTGTAAGCTATAAGCGGGGATTAGTAAGGACACTGTACGACAGGGCCAGGAAGTTATGTTCGCCTAACAAGGTAGAAGAAGAATTAAGCTTTGTTGAAAAGTGCCTTAAGAAAAACAGGTATCCAAAAGGATTTATCCTAAAGTACAGCAAAGAAAGAGATGAGAAAGAGAAGTATCCAACAGTTGAAAAGAAGAAAGTGTTCATTTGCCTCCCATACAAAGGAGAAACAGTATCGCAAAAGATTGAAAAGAGGATGAAAGGAGCAATAAAGAGATGCTTCCCTGCAGCCAAGCTGGTGACACTATACAGCACTACATGCTCTATAAGCCAATCGAAACTGGATAAGTACCCTGCTGATGTTACCTCCAACTGCATTTATAAATTTACGTGCACCTGCGGCAGCAAGTACATTGGAAGGACAGAAAGAAGGGCTTCTATCCGGTTTTCAGAGCATATTCCAAGAAACTTATGCTTAAATGGAAGCAGATATTTACAAAGTGCAATTACCAGACACCTTGTGGATACGGGTCATTTCGTCGAGATTTCCAAATCCTTCAAAATATTAAACATACAAAGGACAGCGAATCTACTACGATTTGCTGAAGCAATTGCAATCAAACGTCTCAGACCAAACTTGTGCACACAGAGAGTGTAGTCAATCTCTCACTCCCTTGGTAACCATATCACTTTCATTACACTGGTTAGTCATACACACTAGTGAGCTCAACTCACTAAGCAAGTTTTCAAATTGATGAACTTTAACCTTCTTGAGTTTCCATGTTGACGTACAACCCCCTTCCTTTTTTCATAGTTTGGTAGTATATAAATTGATGGTAACTTAAACTATAAATTGTAATACTTATATTCCAGATGCGTTCATCTTATAATGTTTTCTTTATTACCTTTCAAACACTGAAGTATGAAATGTTATTATTTATAACCATTGTAGTTTCAGGTAGTTTGCAGCTGATGAGAACCTGTGAAATAGAATGATATCATTTTATACTGCAAATCTGGTCTTTCTTTCTCTATCGAAATTTATCAAGGGAGCCAAATGTATGGAAAGGATTTATTTAGCATATTAAATGGCTGACTTTTCAGGTCCCATTACTTTTTATTTCTTTAATCCTACTGGTGTGGCGAAATGTAGGTTGATAGGAAGCGGCAAAAATTGAAATCAACATTTTAAGTCAATATTTGCAGAGGTAGACATGTCTGTCCCTCAAATCTGGATTTAGTTTACGTCGTGGACATGGAATGACCTCGTTGGATATCTTGTTTAACCTTGGACCAATCCCTAACCAATCAGAACAATTTATTCTGTTCTGATTAAGCCGAACTTTAATGTGATCAATAATCTATAAACATGATGTGTTTTTCCTTAATAAAGGTCCGTTACCCAATCTCTTATCTTCTCCTATTACACAGGGATTAAACGCACATGAAAATAAAACGGTAAATTAATTTTGATTAATCTGATATCCTGTTAGTGAATGGAATTTAATGATCGTGTTTGGATAATAAACTTGTAAACTTCAGTTAAACACTGTACACACATACCTTAGTAAGAGTTCCTTTCCAAATAGAATTGATTTGTCAAGGTTTCCAATACCCCCAATACTTGTATGTTTGAGCAAACGTGTTACAAATCCAGGGAACATAATTAGTGCATCTTGTAACTAGACAAAAATACTATTTAAAATAACTTCTAAGTGAAACATTATTATATTTTCTAAAAATCAGCTACAGAGAATAAAGAGGCAATCAACTTTGGAATGTAATTGAGGTGCTTTATTACTGAAAACCCTTGAAAACAAAGTTGAAATATGGTAGATGAGCAGAGTAGTGAAATCAGACTTTAATCTACCAAAGCATCTCCGAACATGCTTACCTATTTTGCAAACGAACAATCTTTATATTTTCTCACATCACAACTGTTTGATACAACAGAGAACTCTTTTCCCTGAGATGATTCTCACTAGAAAATATGCTACCATGCGTATCACTTTCCGAGCAATCTCAAAGCCCGGATTAACGGTAAGGTTGGGCGTGTGTCTAGCAATCTCACTCCGTGAAGTACAACAGTATCGCTACGGAAACTTTAAAGCGCAGAAGAAATACACCCATTTTTCGCTGGAATTGAGAAGACGCCTTAAATCGAGCACGGATGGTGATGGCAGGTAGAAGTCTTCCAGAAGCCATTCAGATGATGTGCCTTCCTTTGATGGAAGTAAAATTAAGCATATGGATATGGAATTTACGTACCACGTTTGAAGTTAGAAAGGCTACTCCGACTGCAAAAGAAATGAGAAGATATACTACGGAAGTGCTAAGAATCTTTGAGATCGAATAGAACTGGAGAGTCAGTATCTACTCCGGTCATGCAGACAACAACTACTAACACACTGACGGTGTAGAAACTCCCTAATGTCTGATTAGGCTACCGAATTAATGCTGGGAGATTAATTGTCTAACTTCTCTAAGAACGAATGACACGGAGAAACATACTGTCTAATCTCCCTGAACAAAAATGTGAAGCTCCAAGGGATTTGAAAAAAACACAACGAAAACACTGTTATAACCGAAGCGGATGGGATCATCAACGTATTTTAACCACATATTTGGCTTGAGTATGTTGTCTTCAAATCAGACATTGATGAGGTGCCTTTCCCAGACTGCCAAACTGAGCGGCAAGAAAATGATATTTTAATATGTCTATATTCAGGAAGAAAACACACTCCAACAAATATTTAGTCTTCGAATCCTCACACCTCACTAGCGCAAAGGTATCAGCAGTTCAAAGTCCTTTTGGAAGAGAATACTCTATAGATGATAACAGATGAAAAAGGACAAGAAGAAATAGCCAATATTATGGAAATTCTTGAAGGAAATAACTATCCAAAGAATTGTATTAACAAACTTAACACCAACATTAAATACGGCCAAAAACGTGTACCACAGTAGCTGTTACTCCATATATTTCGAACACGCCAGACGTGATTAAGAGTACTCAATACACGCACCATCACAGTTTTCTTCAGAATATCAAACACTGAAAAGCAATCTTGTTCATGTGAAAGACAGAATTCCGAAGGATTCATGGTTTATGTCTATGACATTAAGTGTTTAGCACGTGATGTAATATATACCGGACAAACCGGCAAAGTTAAACTTTAAGCACCACTAACTGCCAATCAGCGAATGACCTCGAACGCACCAATCACGTGACGGAGGCATTTTTGTGTATGGAATACATATATTGCACAAAAACTGTATAAAAGTGTTACAGAGGATACCTTCCTTTTACGTGTGATAAAGATAGGTCTCAGTTTTAGGTTGGACATACAAATTCTGTTCTTATATCAACACAGAAATTTAACCACATTTTATGCATGCAAATATTTAGGTCTTCTAACCCTAACAATAACCCTAATCTTTCCTGAATCTAACCCTAACGTGAAAATATGCCTAAGCTAACTGTAATCTAACTCGAACCAACCCTAATGTCGCCTTGATTAGGTTAACCTAACCTTAACTTGTCCTTGGCTTGAACCATAACTTAATCTTTCTCAAACCTAGGCTGAAACTTTCCAAATATCCCATTTAATAGCATAACACTTCGATGAGCACATTTTATTGATGATGACAACATTATTTGCCGGATTTCACTAACTTGCTCAGTGAGCGTTTCAAGGTCATTGGTGCGTTCGCACTCCATTGGTCGTGAGTGGTGCTTAAAGTTTAACTTGACCGACAAACCTCACAAGAAATCAATGTGAAGAGAAATGAACATCGTAGATGCCTCTATCCAACCATTAAAAAATCCAACAACATTATTATTGTTCCCTTGGGTTCCTAGTGGAACATAGGGCTTCAACTACACGTCTCCACTGTGGAATCCGAATTCATCTGAATAGGAATGAAATAAAAACGGAATTTGATCTGATTTCAACATCACTCTCTATTAAAATGACGAAATCAATACAAATGTGATGAGCATTTTCATCATATTAACACATATGCTATTATTACGATTCATACACTTATCAAGTCCCATAATCTGTACATAGTTTGTTATCCTTACCAATTCGCTCACTTGACAACACATAAATTAATTCATGCTGGAGAAATATGATCAAGTTACTGCGTATTTAAATTGAAATTTTGTAAATTCCGATTTAATATTCCTATGATTAGGCTATTAGCACTAAATGGCGTAAATAATACAGTTTTTGGTCTTTCATTTATTGAGAAATACAAATTGTTTTAAAAAAAAGAATTATAATGAAACTTTAAGTATGGTAATTTGTTAAGAAATCCACTAAAAAAAAACTTACAGCTTCATTCACGCTCATTTTGTTTCCATCAGACTTTTCTAAATCTTCTCCTGCTAACTTGCGGGCCAATGGTATAGAAAAAGCGAAATTTGGAAGTAAATCCAAATTGCGCGACTCCTTCATGTAAAGTAAATATTTGAAATCGTTGAAATACATTACGTTCGCACGTTGTTTTTAATTACAATAAAATATACGTCATTAAACATTTCAATTAGTGAAACCAATGTGTAAGAATAGTCTCAAGTTTCGTCACAGAGTGATATCAATCAGAGAACCATGGAAAACTAGGGAGTACTGGACAGCTGGTTAGTCCTAGTTTCACGCTCATTGGCAGTACGCACCCACTGGGGTTCAAACCGAGGACCTTCCGGTTACAGGGCAAGCTCGTACACCACTCAGCTACTGGGACCTGACTCAATGGCCCATGAATTCTAACTTCTACCGATTCGTGATTTTAGCGCGACCACCAGCCAGTATCATCGGTGAGTATTTGTCCTCACTTCAGACTGGATGGACCCCAATAGTCACGACTTCTCACTAAAACTCAGGGCAACTTCGTCCTGCAGCCAGTAAGAAAGGTCACCAAAGGACTTCGAGTTCAGAATTATATATATATATATATATATATATATATATATGTATATATATATATATATATATGTCAGCTCCAGTCCACTTAAGTATAATGCAATGAAATGTCCGAGGCAGTAACATCGTGAGGTCTCATAAACCTCAACACGTTTAATTGTAACCTAATGTATCGTTTTTTCAAGTATTGGTTTGTAGGGATTTGGTTGATTGGTTATAGGATTTCATCATGGGCTGACATTGGTTAGAGAACCATTGGAAAACCTGGGAGTACTGGACAGCTGTTTCGTCCTAGTTTTGGACTCTTCATCAGTACGCACCCACCGGGGTTCGAACCACTTAATGGTATACGAGCTCACCTTGTAACCAGAAGGTCCTAGGTTCGAACCCCGGTGGGTGCGTACTGCTGAAGAGTCCCAAACTAGGACGAAACAGCTATCCAGTACTCCCAGGTTTTCCAATGGTTCTCTAACCAGTATCGTTTTTTGTTTGATTTCTTTAACGATGGTAGTATCAAGCAGTCTTTTATAGTGTGCTCAAATTTAATTATGTCATGTAATATATGCAGAGAATTCTATTAATACAGATATTAGCAATACGAATAACAAGTAATAACTTCATGCATCGGGGCGACGCTTTGGTCTGACTAGCCCACATTCATTTATGATGTCTGGCCAAATCAGTTGAAGTTTCACTGCTTCATCGTCTACCTCACCTTTTTCAATCAACATTCTAAATCTAAACTCAAGTTTAATTATTATGATTTGATTTCATTTAACGTTGACAAAATCTTAATGGTCAAAAACCTTTGATATATTCTTTATTTACCACCTTGAGTGACCGTGCTTCAAACAGACGAAAAATAGAAAAAAGAAAACCGTTTTATGTTACATTTACTTTTTGATAGGCAATTATAAGCCAAAAATGACGTACATTAACATAACCATAACCAGCAAAAGTATACGGAAGTAAACCAATTTTAAAGGCAAAACTTGTTGCTCATTTACTTACATTTAGGCTATCAAATAAGTCGATTAAGAAGCTGTATTGTCCAGAGAACACAGCATACTGATCTATCATGAGTAGAACTGTTAAAGGATCACCTTCATAATCCAGGCTACGAAACAAAATAATAAATTAAAATAAATATCTTAGTACAAGCTTACATATCTAACAGTGGCACAAACACATACATATCAGGAAAGGCCTGCGAAAATCTCTGGATAAAAGTATGATACTTAACCTTGAGGAAAGTCTAGTTGCTATTACAGCTGACGACCTCATGATGAAATCCCCGTGTAAGCTTAAACGCTTTGATTAATGTGAACCAATAAACAAAACTTTTATATAAATATCAATGGTTTTATTTTTCACCAGAGAAAAGTAGTACCTCACAATGAAGTGCATCAGTTGAAATTACCTAATTTCAACGTCTAGAGCTTACAGACGGATTGGCGGACATCCAGGTCTACCCAGGGGAGCCACGTGTTGCGCATGCCTAACCATCGTCTCCCCCGACGGGCATTACTAGCTGATATAGGTGCAGGTTGGAAAAAAGTGGTGGCCAAACAAAAACATGGCATCAATCCATGAAATCCCTGACAGTTAAACTGAGTCAGGTAGGGAGATGCAGACTTCCGGGTTGGGGCCCTCGGGACTCTAAGAATCAATGGCTGGAGACAATAGGTGACATGGCTCAAAATCGTTCTCAATGGCGCAGATGTATTCAGTCTCTTTAACCTTCATATTCCTTTCTACCATTACTCATTCAGTTTCACTCTTATACTTATCTAAATTCTATTGATTCTCTTCTCTCATTTTCCTGTCTACCTTTGTGTGCTATTTGGAACGTGGCAACTCGAACTGCTGCACTTCGGTGCCAAGTTCTATGTTGAATCCACCACCACCACCACCACCACCACCAGGGGAGCTGTAAGAAAACAAACTCAGATTTTAAACCTATGGTGTACACGGGCTCCGGAATCCGAACGGACCGAATGGTGTATGAACCTGTTTTAGTCACCGGTGAACGCAGCCCCACTGCCTTGTGGATCAGATTTCAAGTCAAAGGTTCCGGAGTGGTCCCTTCCGACAACCACCTGTTTCGATTTGGGCCCTCGGGCAGCATCCTAGCTATCACAAAAGCAATGAGACATCAATTCATGAGAGATTATAATTGCGTAGTTACTGTTACAAAATACAATCATATTTCTACCGTGTTCTTTTTCGACTTGATTTTTACCCATATAATTTTGGGCTTTATTTCTACAGGTTTTACTATCTTTGGTGTCTTTACTTTCGTCTTTGTTTAGATTCTCAGTCTCTGTGCACTTTTGGGTTGTAAGTAAATAGCCTTCAAAATACTGATTTTCAATAAAACATCTAACACGAATATCCTGAAACCACATGTCGCATTCAAGCTTGCCACCTACAATGTTTGCACACTGATGCAAGTGAGATAACAGGCAGATCTGAACAGAACATTAATAAGCCACACAATAGATACTCGCTACACTTCCGAGACCCTCACTCACGATTCCAGTGAAGTAATTCGATTATTTTCTCCATCTGGAAGTTTGAATGGTTTGTACCACTTGCACTTATCTGAGACCCAGTGGCGTCAACACCCAACATAGTTGGTGTCGCCCTAAGCGCTAGAGTCGAAGCTGCATTACTCGACCGTATCCCCATTAACACCCGTTTATGTACTATGAGACTAGGAGATTATAGGAAGAAGAAGTTAAGGAGAGACTGGTCAGAGAGGTCATGCCTATTTGCATTTCTGTCTATGTACCAAAGTATTGCAGCCCGGATGAAATTAAGGGTAAGTTCTGCTATCAACTGAGCGAGCTTCTGAAAAAGGAGCGCTGAGGACTTGAATATACAGGTCAGGCGTCTAGGCTCATATGAGAGCCGTCTATGCGGTCAGTGGGGTCTACGTGATCTCAGGTCAGATAATGGGGATTGTCTTTCGCAGCTTTCACAACCTATATGTAGCCACCACCAACTTCCGATGCAGCCATCGCCGTAGCACTACCCGGCATCCTCCGTCTACCGATCAAGCCTGAACTCAGATTGATGACAATGCCACCAGCTTCCGATGGCATGCATGCATAGAGGACTGCCACTCCTTCTGGAGCGCATGTCTGAACTCTATCATGTTTTAGTGTGTTCCAGGTTCATCTTACAATTTGGTATTCACACATGGTGTCTCCCACAGGTTAGTGTGCGCAAGACGGTAGCAACTGGTATCTACGAAGTAGCAGACCGAGTTAGACTCAATGATAGCTGGCAGCCCTCCAAATAATATAAATAGGCACTGGCTACAGCTGCAAGACGTTATGAGAATGGCGAGTGAACCCGTTTGTGGCTTAAAAGAATGCTCCATTGAAAACCACTGGGTTTGTGTGAGTTCCTTGCAACTTCTAGATGAGCACAAGTCTAATCCGGTATAACATGCGCAAGGCGCTTACGAGCAAGATCAAGCAGTGTTTACGTAAGGACCGCGAAGCCTAGTGATCAGGAGGGTGTAAGATGGAATCCGCAGCTACATCTGACAATAGCTAGAAGGTATTCCAGCTCATCAGAACCACTCACAGTAAGAAACATGGTGTCAACGAGACAGTATGTGAGGCAGATGGTAAGCCTACCACAAACCTGAAAAGATGCCCAGTACGCTGGGTATTTTGAAAGGCCGTTTAGCTGGTCAGCGGCTTCAGCATCCAACATCAATAACTACAATACCCCATGGTCGGTCAGTACCGACCAACCAAACGAAGCGGAAGTCTGAAAGGAACTCCAAGCATCCAGTAGACTAATTACTTCTAGAATACAGTACACAACAGCATACTTTTATCCACAGAAAAAGGTGCTTATTTAAAAGTTAACAAAAGAGAGGAAATGTTTACACAAGCATCTATACAAGAGACAACTCTGCGAAAGCTGGCGCAATGAAATAAAATAACATTTGGCAACCATTTGAATTAGTGATCACAAGAGATCTTATCTGATACAATCAGATGATGACATGTGAATCACTAAAAATGAGAAGTAATTTAATCAAACATTTGTAGTTTGAACAAAAAAATTTAAAACGGTATATGAAGATATTTCTAAATGTATCATTTCAAGCACGAAAAGCCACTGAAATACCAAACGCTTTAGAAACCACAAATGAATAAAGACAAAACAGTTACCTGAGTAATAATTTGCAATATTCCAAGGCACTTCGGTAACAACCACGCTCACCAATAGATAGGATATAACGAAAAAGTGCTACAAATAGACCCCTTTAGCATAGGGAAAGAGAGTAACCATGATTGAAGCTTACCGATTAATCTGATGCTTAAAGTCTAAACGACAAGATGCGTTGAGTGGATTGAATGAATGATGAAAGGCTGACTGGAATGCATGAAGAACACGCTCTGAAAAATGTACATATTTTAGTTGAATTTTCTTCGCTCACCTAAAAGATCAATGGCCATAGTTGTATCTTCCTGATGCATCATTATCTCACTTAATTGTAAAAGGCAGTGAATGTGATATGGATTTTCATATAGCAGGGTCTATTGAAAATGTTATATGAGAAAAGCTAGGTTTACATTCAAAAAATTCACATTCATGGATTCTAAAGCACTATGAAATAATCTCTGGACATTTTGATATTCTTTACTATGTACAAACGTATATAAACCACAACCTAAAGGTTCCATACTTAGGCCAGTTCTAACAGCGAGTGGCCAAGTAGGTTTTATCATTACTAAACCACCGTGTTTTTTATGAATTTGCTTTTTTCTCGATGATGTACGCGAATTAGTAACCTCTGATCGGAATAAACGATTTAGTTCTGCAACATGGTCCAACATTTTCGAATTTACTTTGAGCAATTCTGTCAATTCTTTCTTTTGATCACATATCTCTACCTCGTTCTGCAAACTCAGATTATCAAATTGGTCAGTAACATCTTCAGCTTTCTACAGGAGAAATGTATTAATGTATAATAGCATACCTCTTTTTGTTTACTTCGCTTTTTCCTTTTTTTGCATTTGACAGGTTTAGTGTCAGCAACGGGACATTCATCAGATGAGGAAATCTTTATTTGTTGTTCAGGGGAGTAATTTGAGAACTAAAAAGTGTGTTCAGATTTTAATACAAAGCTAACTTTAGAGAAAATCGAATGTTTCTTTTCACAGTCATCATTACTATCATCATTTTCGTCAGTCTGATTCTGTGAACCTTCCGCCAATTTTCGTAATACTCTAGAAGACATTCTGTAGTTAAATGAAGAAAACAAAATTGGAAACTACGTAAAAAAGATGTAGCTCGTGCATATTAAGATCACTCAAACTCGGTATTTAAGACCAATATAACGTATACACATCTTTGAATAGTACAAATAGCCCAATGACAGTTAAATAACAACTTATCTATGAAGTTTATAGCTTACTTAAATACAAATATTTAGATACTACACAAGACTACTGACGCAATATCAGCTCTAACATACATGACTGCTTGTACTACAAACAACACGAAACATCGAAATTGCAATATCACATTTTAGAATCTATGGAAAAATAGTCGACAGGGTTCCTTTCTAATACACTTTCCGACCAGTGGCTTGAACCTTGCATTATCTAATAACACAGTCTATACTTTCAGGAAATAGCATACGTAAAAAGTGGTTGGATCAAATTCTCTGAGAACCATCAGCTTTGTTATGCTTATGTAACTGACCATTGATTAAATTTAAAATGCATCGCAGCCAGTTGACAAACATTTTTTAAGAGGGAATTTAGATCCAAAGCATGCTATTACACCATTCCAGTATCACATAACATCAATAGCCCAGATACAACCCGAAAAGTCCCCACTTTGAGCAGCATAACTCCTTCAACAAACAGGTGGGGATAAGGACTAACGACTGCAATTGATGACCTACTAGATGGGACCTAGCGTGACGTATAACATACTAGGTGGTGTAACAATAACTATAATAACACTCACTAATGGTGTTTGCAAAAGAAAAATCATTATTGCCAGAAAATTACATGAAACGTAAATATAGACTACGATTAATGGGGAATGAATAAGTTTTAACAACGCCCCTCGTAAACACAAATGAAAAATGTCTAATTATCTAGACTATGAATACAATGATGAGGATTGATAATGGCAGTATCGTTCAACTTCATAGAGTGACGATGATTTACCGAAATGACACTGACAGCACTCTCCCACTATAAGTTACGTAAACAACTTTCGTGATTTCAAGAATTGGTTGGAGAAACCATAAAGAATAGATACTATACACCAGGTCCAATGGCAACAACTAATCATTTCGTTACCTTCAAAATTAATTTATGCACAGAAACCGATTTGTTCTGTTAGGAAGTACTACCTATAAGAAACAGGGGTATATTTTTGTAACGTAGGCAATTTTCGGTTCAAAGTTGTGTTAAGTGAGCTATTTTTGGAAAATGACATCGACAAAGTGGGTAATTTACCCATTCAGGGCATGGGTAAAAGTAGGTAATGGAAACTTTACTGGGAGTGATAGGAAAAGGGAAATGTGTAACGTCTCAGCCGACGGAAATCTTCCATTCTTTCCATTTTACCCGTTTGTAGTCTCTTGCAGGGAACGTGATTCAATTCCCCAAAGGTGTCGTTTCTTGACGGAATAAACCAGGACAAGAGTAAACAATAACTACAACACCAAAATGGCATTAAGCCAACCGATCAGATTGCCTGACATTACGAATGAATGCTGTTTATGATTTTTACTACGAGTCTCATCCTGATTTGCAGTCAGAGTTTCGGGTTACTGTTAATATTAATGAATAGCATCCATTTGAAATGTTGATCAACATTTTCATAAGTAAACTCATTTTGAAGGGCCAACAATATGACTGGCATGCTTAAGATCATTTGGTTGCGGTAACTATTCTTTATAATACATAGACTATATAGTTCCCTTTGTTAGCAGTGTACTGCATGAACTCATTAATTTTTTCCTCTTATCAGTGTTCACATCAAACACGCCCTACTACGGTTTATCTCCACCTTCATAAGCTCAGGTCCTAACCTGTTAGTTCCAATACGTCAGGTGTGACAACGATAACCTTGAAAGTGAAGAACAGTTCGAAAAGCTCGTCAAAGCAACCCTTCATTGTCCAACAGTATTGTGATGAATCACAATTAGCTAGTTAACTTCTTAGCCTTCACATCTTGTTTAAGATATTTGCTGGATCGAGATTTCCTGGGTTCTTCTGCTTAAGCAACTACATTTAACCTCCATGTCCAATTTTAAGAGCTTGTACAAAATAAGTAGAATTTTCGTACTTGCATCACGACAACGACATGAAACTTCCTGATTTTCAGGAATTCATTGAGAGTTTCTTGTTGCAACTCACCCGTGATGCATTGCTAACCTCAAACAGTCCGTGGACTGCTTAGGTTTGTTGGGTATTTATGATATGTACCGAGATCGTGACACGTGATCATGTTACTTATTTTCAAGATAAGAGAGAAGTTATGATGATGCAACTTTTCAAAGAAAACCATACCAGAAGTGTAGTGCAAATGTAACGAGATAAGTAAATAAATCATAAAAACAGAAGAGATAAAAGCCAGTGAGTGGGTCATGGAACAGAGGTTGGAATCAAAGGGCCGAAATTGGTCGAAAACCCGCATGTGACGATTGTTACCCAGTTTGATTTGGTTGACGGTCTAATAGTAAATCATTTTCGACGACCCTGTGCAAACCTCACGTGTCTTTGGTTCCCACCTCCTTTTTGTTATTTAAGACTTCTAGTGCAAGCTACCCTGTCGAGATCTGATGGGGATAGAGGCAAAATAATTAGAATTAGGTGAAATATGTAAAAATGAGTGGATCGACAGTGCAATCCACTAGAACCAGTCTGTTTCCCTTGCGGTTGTGCATTAATCTATTCAGTTCCCATAATGATCTAGCCTTATCTAGAAGTTACCAACTGATGGATCGGTTGTCGCGTGGCCAGAACAGGTGCATCAGGATATGCATCAATTTATATGCCACGCCACACCTGATCATGCCGTGACTGGCAGTACACATATTCAGTCCTTGTAATCAGGCATTACTTCAGTTTTATTGGAGTTCTGGTACCACTTCTCTGCACTGTTTCTAAGACAATAGCACATCTTTTTAGTGGTGGTGTTGGTAGTGGTGATAGTGTAGCGAATTCGCAAACTTCTAAGTGAGGACCAACATTTATCTTGCACCAGTGAGTAAATTTTCTTTGTCTACTCAGATTTACTCTGTTCTTATGACGTTAACTGTATTTACTGCTGGCATCCATCTATAATAGCCTGAGGCATCACTTCGCCTTAGCATAGTAAGTATTCATTAACATGAGAATCATAACAGTAGTGAGTGTTTATTAAAAGTGGCTCTTAACGGAGATTGTTCAACTCATCACTAAAGTTTCTTCAGGTCTCTGAGGTCATAAAATGCAGTATTTTTAGTACTACTCTGACAACCAAATTCTACTTTTCCGAAGCAAATGTCTCAAAACCTCTTTTTCTGCTCTTCTCCCTTAAACACTTCGAGCGAAACCGTCTTATAATTTGTACTGTTCATTCTACCCTTCTTCAAACCTTATAGAATTTTCCATTTATATAGATATTAACAGAGTATTTTGATGTATTACCGGTAATGTCATGGACTAGCTGAATACAAAACTCAACCTCATTCTTTTCACCTAATAGCTGTACTACCTCCCGTTTGATGTATACTATTTCATACTAGACAGTTACCAAACACGTGTTACAAAACTGGGCTAACTTGCCAGTTTTCCTTCCCCATATTTTGAGGTTAATCATCGCCGTCTTTTGTTTCAAAACACTTCCTTATTGCGTTTAACTGAGCATGTTTGCCGTATAAATATTTTTGTTCAATGTAAAATATTTGTCCGTCAAACGACTGCTTATCGTTATAGTGTTAGCAAACATCTTATTCTGCAACTGTAGAAACCTGGAGAGAATTTGCTGAAAATTTTCTTAATGGGCGATCTTTTGTGTGGGAATATTCATTCCACTGACTCATAACAACCTGCTCTCCATATACGTGTATATAACTGTTAAAGGCTAATTCATTTTCCCTTTCCCGATTCTACAGGTCTTCCTGCAACTTGGTCGATTCTTCTCCATTTCTAATGGCCACCCTCAAGTATACGTCATCTGCGTAGGATGGCTTAAGTTATTTGGAAGATCTTCTGTAAACAGCGGGACTGTGTTCTAGTCCAAAAGTTCTTTGGGGTAATAATCTAACAGGCTTCTTATCACCTTCGACATCGTTGGAGGTTCCGTAAAACTTAAAGGCTAGTTGGCCATTGGTTTGGTGTCATCTCACATTGGGCAGATCTTTCTTAGCTTATCCATAGCCACGCTCAGATTTCATTCCACCAGGTGTTCAAGTAAGCCCAAGCTTGTGTTTGTCATTACGGATTCTTGAGGTCGGTTCACAGTCTTCGCGTATTTTTGACCAGAATGTTCTCCAAATGCTCTAGGACGGGTACTCTTTGATTCGCCGATCAAACTCTTTAGAGAACGGTGTTTGTTTACATCTAGCGAAAGGTTACGATTGTCTGGAAAGATTCTTTCATTCACACACGGTGGAGGAGCAAGTCATCATTTTTAGATGTCACAGGCTGTCCTGAGGTTATGATGTGGTGCATAACATTGCTGGTTATGTACGGTAGGTCATTAGACGGGCAATAAAGTTCTGGGTACTCAGCAACAGTCGGTTGGAAAGTTAGATCAGGGATTGCTTTCGTCTTAATGAGCGAAAAGCTGTGGCTTACGTAGGTGATGCCTTTAATAGACAGTCCAATTGTGCCATCTGTCAGTCGTTTTCGGCGGACGTCTACGACTAAATCATGATGGTTAAGAAGGTCCATGCCAATGATATGCTTTGTGACGTCAGCGAGAGGGAAAATCCACTGAATAGGTTTGTGTACACCTACGTTCAGATAAAAGTATTTCCTGCCAAAGGTTGCAATTGGTTTTTCATTCGCAGCCTGTAAGTTGAAGGTAGGTTCCTTCTGTCGATCTGCTAATGTAGCAGGAATGACGCCGACTTCGGCGACTGTGTCGACCAGGTATCGAGTCTGATTAATTACATCATGGATTTAAAGTAGGCGACTACTGGCAGGAGTCTCCCACATGCTTTGAGAAATTGCCGAAATTACAAGGTTTTCGGCAACATTTCGCTTCCTGGCCATAAGTATTGTGATACCAACACCAGTCAGGGTTTTTGAATGAACGTGGCTTGGATTTAGATTGACCACGTGAGTTTCGCCGTTGAGGGGAGTTCGGACGCCGATAGGAGGAATTACGGGGTTTATTTGACTTAAGCAGCTACTGGATGGGATCGCATAACTCTACCACTGCATTGTCCCCCCTTGAAGTCTGTTCGGCAACTGAGCAGAGCATATTTCGGTAACCGGCCGTTTAGTAATTCCTAGAATTTTGTCTGCATAAGCAGCTAAGTCGTCTATTAAAACACCTTGAAGTGTCACCAGCACAGCCTGTGCTGACTGTGGTAGATTGGATAAGAAGAGTTCTCTGAAAAGTCCCTCATCAAACTGACCTTGGCCAATAACTTCTCTCATTCTTGTCAGCGTGCTCACGACTGACTGATCCTTTAACTCGACATTACGAAATAACTCATCCAGACGCTGTCGATCCGTGGGAACGTTTCTCCTTAGGAGAGATGCTTTGAGCAACTCGTACGAGTTACTTACCTCTGGACTCGACATCTGCACAGTTACGCACTTGCTGAATTCCCGCGGTAGGGCATGAATAACTGCAAGGAACTGTGAACGTTGATCAGTTATCCCATGCTCACAAAAATCAGACTCAGCTATCTGAAACCATGTTTCAGCATTATCTGACCAAAATAGTACGAGCTGAGCGGATAGCAATAACCTTAGGACTGGGATCACTCATGGCGGAATATATAAAGTTTAATAGCAGTACAGGAACAAATGTAAAATGGAACGAACGATCGCAAGATCAAATACCAACAACTTCTATAGTATTCCTTCCTAGGGGACCAAAGGCAAAGCAAAAGACACTATTTGGTCGCCCAAAGTACGAGATATATTTCGGGACCAAATCGTGGACTGAGGTGAATGCTTAGCTGGCTGGTGGTCGTGCACGAACGTGACACGACGGAGTACCAAATGGCATGGATGCTTGACCGGAAGCTTTCAACTGAACAAGTCAACTTAAACAGTGAGGGTCAGCATCTGATGTTCAGTGATGGTTGTTGTGGTCAATAATTTTGGGGAATTATTTACTGCTACAGGTGATATATATTACCCTCAGCTACAGTTGCAAGTGTAAATTCTCTGTGAGTTGGCAGTCACTCGTGAGTTGGACGGTTTGACACTGGGCCACCCAGCGCGCATTGCTCTGGATAATTTCATGCAGCCCAGACTCCGTGACAGCACTCAGAACATTTTGTCGGAAGCCACTTGGTGAGTATATTTCCCGCAGATTTTGAATAGTGGTGTGTTGAAACCTCCTGTGACAATAACACGATCAGATCCCACGGTTGTATTTGCCCCTTATTAGAGCTGTTTCGTTTGTATGTACAATAACTTATTCCAATAAAGAAGTAACTCTCTCCATCCTGCAATATGCAATATCTCTGCAGTGCTGGTACCACTGAACGGTTGAAAGGAAACTGTTCACCACTTCAGCGGTGCTAAACTCCAATCAAGAGAAATAAAAGCTCTAACTCACGTCAAGAAACTCCCTGGTCCATTCAAGGTCATCAGTACAGTCGCTCTTTTTTGATATTTATTGGTTCTTAAAGTTTAATTTGACTAAAAGATCTTTAATTAATATTTCTGATTAATTTGCTGAAAGTTTCCACGAAAATTTAACTAACATTTCACCGTATTAAATCTATTGCATACAAGTGAATAGGCTAGCAGAGTGGCGTTCTAGAGCCCTGAGTTCCAGGAACGACCCCTTAACGTCAGCGAGAGGCATATAAGTAACAAGTTGACCTGAACTATTGATATAAGAATAAAACTTGTACACTGTGGTAGAGTGTAATTCCATTATTAACAATAAATTGTACTCGAAACGTCATCAGTAAACATTGCTGTACAACACTGTGA